TTCAATGGATTAGTATTCATATAACCACCAAATTTTCTATCGAAAGCTTGCTGCAATGCTACAACAATTTAATAGAGTTTAACAATTCAGCTTCTGAATTAGAAACAGTGTCACAAATTTTGGGAAAAACCTTCCTGTGCAACATTTAAAGACAACAGTGAGAGAATTTATATCACCGTTACTTTACATTTCATAAACAAGAGAGTTAAAATTGAAAAAATTAAATATATAAACAAAGTTACATATTTGAAGTGTAAACTTCCAAAGTTTTCATATACCTGGCACTGCTTGGTATGGGTCAAACAAGAAGTATAAATATTCTGTATGGTCTTAACTCTTAAGATAGTGTGATGAAGTGCTGCAGAGAACTGACCAAACTTGGAGGCCAGTGCTTTGTGTCTCTAACATACGAAAGGTCTGTAAAATGGGGATCAAGCAGAGTTGCAATGGCAAACTGGTTTTCAGCAAGCAAAGCAGCGTGCTTATCTTCATATAAGGCTGCTGCAAGAGCTGCATGTATTTCTGCTTGGGAAAAATATGTAAAATTAGATAAAAGTGAGAGTTTTCCTTTTGCAGTGTAGTCATGCTAGAAATATACCTGGATACCCTTTTAAAGATATTGAAACGTCTTCCATCTCAGCTATTGCTTCTTCTCTATCACCAACTTCATATAGGGCCAATGCTCTTCCTACCCTTGCATACTCTGAGAATGCCAAGTCTTTGTAGCTTTCAATAACCTGAAATGACAGATAGGAATGTGTACCGCGTTACAGCATCAGTCAGATGATTAAACCATGGAATATTAGAATAAACTAAATCAAACTTTGGAAGTGACATGTGATGCCATGGAATAGCTCAGGTTGAGCCAACAGGTATAAATTAGCTGAAGAAAGTTGCAAGGTTATGAGCGGAAACTGGACTCCCATAGTGACTTTAAAAATTCTTTAGCCACTAAAATCATTTAGAGTATATATTTCTGTTTTGATTCCAAATATGAAACTTTCCATGCAAATTTTTCATACACCTAAGCTGAGTTCAAGTTGTTGACCAAATTAAGACAGGAGGATACACAACCCTGCAAGCTTGAATCTTAGTAATGAGGTGTTGAACTAAAGAGCAATCTTAGTAATGAGGTGTTGAACTAAACCCTGCAAGCTCTATGAACTTGATTGGGGTTCTTCCCCCATTCAAGCTTGTCTAAAGCTCATCTTTATTGAGTTTAGCGGGCGATGGAAGAAACTACTGCAAACCTCACATTAACATAATATTACATTTGTTTCAAACTAAACTCTTATAAACTTCCCAATTCTTGGCATGAATTTTACATGATACTCAACCTATGATAAGTATTTCACAAAATTGACATTGTGTGGTGTATTTGCGCTGCTTCCAATTCCATATCCCTTCTGTTGTGTTCCAAAATCAAAATTTAAATAGTACAGTGACACCACATAATGCCTACATTTAGGCCATACAGATGCAAAACTTTATAAAGTGGTCTTATGCATAATTTTTGGCAGGTAACATTAACAATTCAGGTTTACTTTCCAAAATTTCAAAAGCTATACCATGCCCGATAGTGGCAGATCAAATATTTGAATATAACTGCAAAGAATACTAACTTATGCTCAATCTGTTACTTCTCTATATCCGTATAAATAAATATGGCAACTTCAGTTTCCAAAGTGAACCGACAATCATTCAGTCACATAAATATTTGCCCCGGTTTCCAGTATATCTGTGACTAATCTCATCTAGCATTGTTTTTTCTTGAAATTTACAAATATAAACTAGTCATTAAAAAATGTAAAAAACCGACTGATTTGCCTTCCATGTAAGCAATGTTGTAACTTAGATAACATCAATCATGCAAGGAACGACGCCACTGCTAACTGAAAAACATAATCATAATACATAAATAAACAATCAGCAAAGTTGAAGAATGAAGGGATAATTTTGATAGGAAAAAAAAAACTCTCTTTTACACACAACAATGATAAGAGTACACACAAATGTCACAAAATTAAAAAAAAAAATTACACAATTTATTTAAGGTAGTTCGAGCCTTCATGTTTACATCCACAAGGATGTTCATTATCTCAAAATATATTACATATTTCTTAACAAATTTTAACTTTCAAAACTAGTTTTTGTTGCTGGTATACCGTATAAGTATTACTTGTAGCAAAACTTTTCTGGAATAGAAAATATCAGCTTCCTTTAAGGCAATTCTATTTAAAAAAGGTGGATCTCTCACAACTCTGATCTTTCATTGAAATAATTTATTTCTCAATAAATGTTTTCACATGGTAAGGACAGTTATAACTCAATTTTAAATTAAGCATACTTTCAGGATCTTCTTTATAATTTTGATGAGCAATCCCATAATAATCCATCACCAAACTTTAGTAAGCAAGAAGCTACACGGAAAGCCTAATATCTCTGCACTACTCTTAAACTCAAAAGTAACGACCTAAATGGAGTAATCTCCTAAATTAATTATCGAGATTGTACAGACATTTTAGTCTATAAAACACTCTATAAGTTCTCCTTTTTTCCAAAGAATAAATAGTATATGCATTGTGTCATTTACTTCTAATAACTACTTTAAAAGTCATACTTATCATGGTTTCTAATTAGCTGAAAGTATAAAATTATCATTATAATAACATTGTTTCATTCGATCAGAAATTGTTACCCCTAATAACTACTTTTAAAGTCATTCTTATCATGATTTCTAATTAGCTGAAAGTATAAAATTATCATTATACTAACATTGTATCATTCAATCACAGAGTGTTACACATTTATCATGATTTATGATCGATTAAAAGTATAAAATTATCATTATAACAATGCACAAAAACTAAACTTATTTTCAAAATGATATTTACTTTGATAATTTGTATGTAAAACATTAAAAGTGTAACATTAAGATTAGTTGGAAATGAAAGGACACAAAATAGAGTAGCTAAATTAAAATAAATAAATAAAAGTGCACATTATTATCACCTGAGAAAAGTATTGAAGAGCACCACCAAAGTCACCCTGAGCCTGCAATTCCCTCCCTTTCTCCAGCAACTCCACTGCTTGAGACACTCTCTGTGAAACTAAAGCACTTGCTTCTCTTTCAGAAGCAGTTAATGGGTCAAACATTGTGGCAGCATATGAAGAAGATCCATCACCAAAGCTAGGAACAGGAAGGAGAAGGAAACTAGAGAGGGGCAGAGAGAAGAGGAATAAGCGCCTGTTTCTAAAAATAGGTGGTGGTGTTGATGCTTTGCTCTGAGAATTCTGGATTCTGGTTTTGGGCTTCCACAGGGGAAGATGGCAAATGGGTGCTCTGCATGCACCCATCGTAGTTGTGACTTAGGAACCAAAATCTGAGATTTTTCTGTGTTTGTGAGGAATCTCTGCAACCATAACTGCTAAGGACTTCTTATCAAATCAAACATTCAATTATTTGTCAGATGAGATATTTTTGACCTCTCATCAAACATTCAGTGGTTAACAAACAACTACATTTCTACTTGAAATATATCAAAAATACCGCTGAACACAAAATGCAATCGTTTTCTCTCTCTCTTTTTTTATTTTATTTTATTTTTATTTATATCGTGTTTTCTTAACTGAGCTTATAAATATTTTTTAGGTGTATATAAATATGCAAATCGCTTCATTTTCTACCAGTATTAACCTAAAAATTTAAGGGAGTTGCTACGGTACCTTCTAAAATTGAGAGATTTTAATACATTTTTTATGTAAACTTATAAAATTTTAAAAAATTAATTTAATTATAAAATGAATAATCTAAATTATACTTATAAAATAAAAAGTAAGATAAAATTATAGAGATTAAAATTATAAGATTTTAATAATATTATAAAATATTAAAAAAGGAAAAAATTAATAAATAGTAGAAATAAAAAGTTATTAAAATTACAATATAGAAATTCAAAAATTTAAGACAAAAAAATAAAAAATATACTTAAAAAATTATTAAAATTAAAATATAGAAATTCAAAATTTTTAAGTGAAAAGATAAAAATATACTTAAAAATTATTAAAATTAAACTATTTAAATATATAACAATATTATTACAAATAAATTAGAATATATAAAATAAAAATAAAATGACTAAATAATTTAAAATTTGAAAAAATAAAATATCATAAATATTATTTAAATAAATTATTAAAAATATAAAATATAAAAGACTGTACCGGTACCCTCTCAAATAAGATGGGTACCATAGAATTTCTCAAAATTTAAATGAAGAGGCTTCAAAACGACACATGTGTAACTCTTATCAAATATATTAAATGTGAATTTTATAAATCCAACTGTTAGATTGAAAGTTTTTTATTTTTAAATTATATATACAAAATTTTATATTAATATAAGATAATTTAATATTTTATTCTTATAAAATAAATTAACGTAATTATACATTTTAAAATATAATAAAATATAAATATTTTGATTATCTTTAAGTTGTTGTTCAATTTTAACAAAATTTAATATAAACATATAAAATAATATGAACTTTGAATCAAATGGTTGAATTTACAAAATTCACATTTAATATAAAATTATTAAGTAATGTAATACTTAATAAAAATTATATCGGTATCGTTTGAACCCTCCTTAATTTAAAAAGATTATTGTGTAATAATATTTTATATAAGATTCTCATATTGAGGCTATTCAAAGCTATGTCAAGCAATGAAAATATTATAAAGCTTTTAGTAGATGATACACCATTGAAAAGTACATATTCTTAGAATATTAAACCAAATTTTTAATTGCGATATTTACATGTTAGCAAAATTGTAATTTTCGCTAATAATAATAATATTATTATTATCTTTATTATTCAAAATAGTTACTATAATTTATATATTCTAACAATTAATATTAAATAAATAATTATTAATAAAGTTGTAATTCTTTGTTTTTATCTAAATTATTTATTACATTTAAAATATGAGTAAAAATCATTTTCATTTTTCTTTCTTTTCATCTCTTATATTTATAAAGTTTTAAAAATATAACCGTGACTCTTCTTAAAATATACATCAATTTTATTTTATTAATTTTTTCAAGAGTTTAAGAAATGAAAATAAAAAAGAAATAGGGGATGTATTTTCCTTAAAAGTATGTAACGCAGCCTGATAGTAATAATTTATAAAACGTATAGATCTGTAAGAAAAGAAAAGGTGAAATCTGTCATCTTTTAAGACATCATGATGAACATGCGATGTAAGTTGTTAAATGCACAACCTAGTGTGTTTATTTAACGGATTGAATATTTATTTCACACCCTTTTTTTTATGTCATAATAATTGAATTTAGTACTGAAAGATAGACCTCATTTCACACCTAAGATGCTAAGTAGGGTCTGTTTATTTTCTATTTTTACTTTTAATTTACAATAACTATCGCTTTATTTTCAATTTATTTCTTGTTTACAGATAGTTAAATGAGAAATAGAGGGGGGAGGAGGGGAGTTGTTCTTACTATTTTCCATACAAATATTTGATAACAAGAAAAAAAAATTACAATGTATTAAGATTTTTATAAATTAAAAATAGAAATAGTAAATAAAATTAAAAAAAAATGAAGTAAACAAACCCTAAATGTGATAACATATTTGATAAATTAACGTTAAACGGAGATTCAATATTTTTATGAACACACCCATGCACAATGAAGAATAAGGAATGTAATTTAGAAATAATAATTTATAATCTTGTTATTCCCTTCAGGTCTGGAAATTGAGTGATTAACACACAAGGGACCAAAAATAGAAGACGAACAGCGTGTGCGTGTTTGATAAAATAAAAATAACAATAAATATTAAATTTACTTTACTTGAAAACTTTTAAATAAGATATATTAATAAGTAAGGATACGTAAAAGAATACTTCTATTCTCATTTTAACAATTTCAGCTGCTAAACCGAGATGAACGAGAATGAATAGCACTGTAGTTTAGATTTCACACCATTTGATATTTTTAAATCTTCGATGCGTACATTGAAGATGGGAGACTGTGCATTATAATTCAGATTTAACGACATTTGATCCTTTACATTACATTGAAATAACAGCACAAATATCTTCAGAGCGATTTAGCTGTCCTTACTCCTCAATACTTGCTCACAATGAGATGAGATAGTGCATGTTTGGATTATAATTGAAAGAACTTAAAAAAGTATTTTTAATTTCAAAGTAACATTTTTTTCCTTTTTCATTTTGCACATTGGATTCAGAAATTATGCATTAAAAATTTAAAATTTGCAAGAGTACTTTTCTACCTGTTATCCGAACATATAGCCAAATTGCTCGAGCACAGCCACAACAACAGTTGAAGTAATATTATTACCCACATTATATACAATCTAAATTAGATTCCTATGAAAAAACTGTCTGATGATATCCATATAATTTTTCTTCTTCTAAATTTGCACGTCTATATATGAAATTAAATGTGACTCAGACAAACAAGAAATCCAGAAAGAAAATAAAATTGTAGAAACCAACCATGATTATGTTACATCTAACATTCAAGACAAAACATGAACCTGAAACTAAAAAAGATGGCTTCCTTTGATACTAAACAACCAGCAAATTATGTTCCGGTTCAGAAAATGGACGTAGCTCCCTTCTGTTGGAGATCCTAATTCTTAAAATGCAGGTTTGAGTGAAATTTTCTTCAAATCAGCAGCAACTACTTGTGGATGCATCAGATTGGGGTGGTCTGTCCTTAAAAATGTTCTTTTTTACACCCTTTGAGCCCTCGGCTAAGAGGCTAGGTGTGTCCAGAATCTGCACACATCCAAAGGAAAATAAATAAAAGAACAAAGCAATACCATGGTCATAATCATTAGGTCATCTCGATTCCAAAGACGCAATCCATTTCAATCCCTAAACCAAATTTTCTTGTTCTCAACTTAATTTTTGAAACTAAACAAATCTGTGTTTCAAATCCACACATATAGAGAGGAGTATAGAAAAGAAATTTACCATAGCCTTCTAAATATCACTATGATGGTAACTTTTTTACATGCATTAGTGAATTTATACAGAACACCAATTACTGCCGAAATGATAGGAAACGGGTATATGTGGCGCATGACATACCTTCAAAACAAGCTCTTCAAAGCATTGCTGAACGTTAACTCGAGTTTTAGCACTGCATTCGATAAATAGGCAACCATATTCCCTGGCTAAGTCTATTCCCTCTTTCTTTGTCACAACTCTATAACCCTCCTGAAAAACAAATATCACCAGCATGCATGTCAAGTTCTCTAATGGAATGCAAGAAAAGAAAATTCAGTAATAAGTGTCAAGTGGGTCACCAATTTATTTAGGATCATGCCGACTTTGTTTAAAAAAAAAAAGGCTACACTTGGAGAATGGGCCAAAAGCCCAATATGCTAATTATATTAGCATCTAATGTGGTGACAATTGAAATGTGAGGTCAATCCTATAAAAGGATGAGAAATCAGAGAGTCGAATGTGCATTTGTGTACTTTGTGCCTCTTTGTGAAATGGAGAGAAGAAGAAAAACTTCTAGTGATCCCTAGTAGTTCTAAGAAGACTTATGATGTACTCATTAATTATTATTGGTGAAGTTTTTATTGGACTATGTCCAATGGGATTTTACTTCACATTGAGTTTTCTAATGTTAAAATTTGGTGCCTATTGATTTATATTTTTTTTTTCTATTTTGTGCATCTATTATATACCTGAAATTATCTTGTTGCTTGAGGAACTTACTGTTATTTATATAGGAGAAAAAAAGATCTAGTTTTGCTTCTGCTTAACTATTATTATTTGTAATCTTTCCTCAAAATAAGGAGATCTAGTTTTGCTTCTGCTTAATTATTATTATTATTTATCTTTTCTCAACAATAAGCTATGATATGAAGCAGAAGTTAGAATACAAAACAAATGGAACATGTAGCTGACAAGCACATGCAAGAGTTGAAGCTAGAGACGTAAAGTTAAGAGGCCAACATGAAATCAAGCCTACCTCCTTATCTTCTTTTTGTTAGATTTCAACATACTTTTCTCTATTGATATCCAATAGTCTCCTCTCTTTTTTTTTTTTAAATCATTACTTCAAGGAATATAAGCAAACATGTTAGAAGAACCAGAAGTGAAAACAAGACAAATGAAATAAAAGGCATGTGCTTTAGATCGAAAGAGCTCTCAAATCCCTCTGTAAATCTGTAATAGAAACTTCTCTACAAAGGCATGCTGAAAGCCTAACGGAAGAGAGAAAAAAAGAAAACTCTGTACCATAACAGATGGAAGGGAGAAAACTTTTGATTAAAACTCAGGTATTAACAACACATCATAAAACACCAAGACTCCCACAGACAGAACAGTGGCAAAGGATTTCACCCCTCACCCTTACAGCAAAACTGTTAAATGAAATGAACATACATTGGTTCAAAGATATTTTATAGATGAAACATAACTTGGTTAAAAGATATTTAATAGTAATTTCCGCGTACAAAAATTTCCTAAATATTTAAGTTTACTAGGAATCTCCGGAAGCAAGAAAACTAGTACCAGAGTGATATTGATTTTGCACAACTCAAGCATCCTACACTATATAAGGGGAGCATATGATTGTTAACTTCTCAAAAAAAAGATACCTTATCTACTTTGTTTCCAACAAGCATCTTGATGCAATCTTGATTTGTTGAATAAAGGTCTATTTCCTTTGCCCATATTTCAGAAAGATTTGTAAATGTTTCTCGCCGGGTCACATCGTAAACTGCATCAGTTATGGGAACAAAATTAGCGGCTAATCCAAAAGTAAAATTTCAACACTACACAAACTTGGAAGAAGAAAAATCTTCCAGTTTCCAAAGACCATTAAACACATTGCACCTAATATAGAATTACAGATATTGCAGCCATTTTGTGGTGAATCTGACCAACAATAGAAAGAAAATTCCAGTCTGGTTATTGAAATAACACAGATCAATTGGGTAACGGAGCAATTCATCAACAAACCAAAGGAATCCAGGATTTACACACTAATATTAATGCCATAGTTTTAAATCCCAGATAACAGCACATAGCAGCTGCCCCCCAAAAATGCTATAGCAAGATAGTGGATAACCACTATTTTGAAAGTTTTTATTTAGTTTCTATAATGAATACTATATAAATATATATTCTTAAAAATGATAAAAACTACTCAAAATTAGAGACATTCATAATGAACAATCTAAAGTCACAGGTGTCTTAAAATGAAACATACAAGTAAATACCAACAAAAGTCAAATACAAGTTTCCAAGATAAGAATCACCAATCATCTTCTAAATCCAGGTTTTCTTTAAACTTTTCCCTACTATTGTCTATTTTAACAGTAGATTTCATTTTTGGAAATTGAAATCCTGAAAATAACCACCCAAAAAAGCCCTAACTTCTTTGTTTAGAGGTTTTTTTTTTTTTTGGAGTAAACACATAGTTCCTCTATTCAGCTTGCTATGACCACTACACTAAATCGCTCTGCCACGGCAGCCTTGTAGTGGGAAGGGACTGCTCTGCACCACTATGCCACTATAGCTTGCTATTTAAAACCCTGATCAGGATAAATCAATGAAAATTGGATTGATTATAAAAGATATAGATATGGTATGCTAAGAATCAGGATCATGAGGCCACCAAACTCCCCCAGAAGAGATCAGAAAAATAGTCAAGAAAAGGTAAGATGAAAGTTAATTTGCAAGTAACCACATGTTTTGATTATGTGCGGCAACCAAAAAGCCTGAATGGTGGAGGAATAAGGATGAGATTCCATAATCTAGCATGGGAAAGTTTTATCTTTAACTCCTCCTAGCAAGGAACTAACTACCTCAACGAATATAACATAGAATGTACTAGATTATCCAAGAGTAAGGTAATAGGTTTAATTTAAAAGGAAACACTTGTCCCTAGAAAAATGCCAAAATTCCATATTTAAGTAAGTGAGTATTGATTCAAATTTTATTTTCAATGCACGTAAAAATATCTGGTGATATATAAACTTATGCTATTTGAATGTGTAAGAGACTAAAAAAGAGTACTTCTTACTGTCCTTTCACTGAAACAAATAAGAAATATTCCAATTTACAGACATTCACCATAAGCAGTTCCTGTCACTGAAACAAATGGGAAAGATTTCATTTTACAGGAATTCGCCATAACCAGCACCAGATTAATGGAACAATGAGCAATATTTATATCCATCGAATACATTCTAGTTCAGGTAGTCATTCAAGGCATTGCACCTAATCCAATCCTATAAATGTAGATGACAATTCAAAAAGTGGAAAACAGAAACTTGCCCATGATGATTCCTTGTGCCCCTCGGTAGTAAGAACTTGTCAGCGTCCTGAATCTCTCCTGACCAGCTGCATTATTAAAAAAAGCAAGCAGAATCAATCAAATATGCTATTAGCCACAATAGCTCTAACTAACAATGCAAAAATCCTCCATGACTGAACAACTCATCAGCGCCAATAAGCAAAAAGTTTAAGAGGAATCACAACACAGTGAAACAATAATTAATTAATGACACAAGTGAATACCAGTATCCCAAATTGCAAGCTTAAGCTTTTTACCCCCCATCGTCACATATTTGACCTTAAAATCAACACCTGCATGAGGCATCATCAAATCAAATAAGACACAAAGGTGCATTATAAATGGCTATTGTAAATTGTAATATACAAATCAAATGAGAAAACAATTGTAATTAAAATTTAAGAGGAATAAAAAAGGACCAATAGTTGGCGAGAGATCTTCAAAAGCATCGGAGGTGAAACTGAGAAGAAGACTACTTTTGCCAACCCCAGAGTCTCCAATCATCAACAACTTGAACAAATAATCGAATTCTTGATGCCCCGAACTCGAATCCATCGCACTCAACTGAGTTAATCACACACACGTTAAAAATCCATCATCACACACAAAATAATAATAATAAGCATTGATTCCATTTCATTGAGAATAAGAAATGTATTATTAAAATAAAATATACAGTAAATAGAGAGAAATTCGTCATTTTTTTTCGGTTACCTAAAGAATGAAATCGAAAGAAAATTGAAGAAGAAAGGTCAGCAGAAGTGATGCGAGTAAGAAAGAGGTAATGTTAGCACGTGCGTGAGCGTTGCAGTTTCTTTTTCCTGGTATCTCTTTTTGATTCAGAAAACCACAATTGTGCATTTGCTTCACGAACAAGCATCACTCAAATTAAAATGTCAATAGTTTTTAAAACCCCAAAATAACATAAAATAATGCACAGACACCTCTTATTTTTTCACTTTAGAACATAACACATAAATTACTCTTCCATCGAAGAAATAAAAATAATTCAAATTAACTTTTTTTTAGTTAACATCGTTTAACTTTATTAATTTTGTTTAAAAAGTAACATATTTTTTAAAATATCTTTTATTAAAACTTGATATATATAAAAAGTCAATAGAAATATAATTTCTATTAAATTAATAAATATTTTGAGAATAATATTGTTAAATTGAATAAAGTTAATCAAACTTTCGTTGCATTCAATGCCAATAAACACGATTTTTTTTCTTCTTATATTTGAGAAGAAAAAAATACAATTTAAAAAAACGTTACTAACATACTCCCGTAAAAATGCCCCCAAACAGAGCAAATGCCCCCACAAAAGACAAATTTACTGTTGCAACCAAAATTCTAAGCACTTCAACAAGAATCAAGTACATTATTGTCATAGGATTGTTATCCTTGCATAAAAAAAAAAGTAGGATTCTGGCTACGACATTGTAGCAACTAGGTAGTGTATCAAAAACAAAAAGTAGCAAGTACCCATGTCTACGACGTTATATATCTTTTATGGATAAATGTAAACGTCCACTTCACCTGGGGATAAATTGGAGTAGAAGAGAGTATGAGACAGGAAAAAATAGAAAAGACAGAAAAAAAAAATAATAAGTGATGTGATACAAAATAATAAAGAAAGAAAATTATTAATATGAAAGAAAGAGAAGATATATAAATTTGAAGTGGGTGGAAATTATACAACTCATTTTTATTTGCTGGAATAAAGATGCTCCAGCTAAGGAATCTCAATTAATTTTTTTTTTTATAGAAAAGTGTTAATACTTATTACCATGTTTTCTCTTTTACCATCGTCTAATTAGCAAGTTCCACAATAACGTTTCATATGAAAGTGAACCAAACACATCCAACAACATTATGCCAATCAGCCAACTGTTCGCACTTCCCTACA